ATATATATATATATATATATATATATATATATATATATCATACAGTTTAATAAGTATTCATTTTAATGCATGCAATGTGTTTATGTGTGATTGTTTAGCGAAAGATGCTCACTTGTGCCCATTTCTTGTTCTTGCTGTTCATGTTGATGGTGGTTATGCTGGAGAAGATCTCTTCAGCAGAGATGTAGTCCGGCAAGCGCGTCAGGAACTGAGCGATGTGGATGAAGTCCATGTGTGTGAGGATGTCCTCGTAAAGACGCAGAATCCCCAGTGCTGTGCGGAAGAGAAATTCCTCGCCATCTCGACAGAACACGTCCCACACACGGCACGCAATGTCCAGTGGGAGTGATTTACTGTACAAGGTGAAGATCCTACACAGACAAAAGCAGATCTCTGATAAATAAATCTGTACCTCAGGGGCACATTTCTGACAGGACTTAAAAGTATCTCACTTACCAGTCAATTAAATAAATATCAGAGGACAGGCTGTTATTTTTAAAATGTGCAAAGAGCTTCGGTAGATTTTCTTCAAAGAACACTTCAAATGTTGCAAAGTATGTCAACATCTAAGGAAGAAAAATGACAGGAGCATATGAAGAGTCTTGAATAATAACTTTTTTTTATTGATCGCACAAGACATTGCTCATAAAACTCACAAGGCTGTGGTCCACTCTGTAGAAAGCCATTTGACAAGGCTTGTTCAACAAATTGGCAAATGCAATGAAGGCATCAGCAGTGTTCATGTTGAGGATCAACACTGCTGCTATAAAGGACATTCCCTGCACCTACACAACAAACACATAACAGAGATAAATAAATGAGGATTTATCTTTAACAAAAAAAGCATCTATTCTTACCCCTAAAACAACATGCTTTACCCCTTAATGTCAGAGCAGTGCTGCCTTTCTGTATTCACAATTTGAGAATCTGTATTCTCAATTGATCATTTAATTTTTCCAGTTTATAATACGACCTTTACACCTAGCATCTTTGTGGAGGTGTAAGTGCAAAAGCTCTTTGGCCAACAATTGACATTGTGGTCTATGAGCAGGATGTAAGAGAGCTGTGCAGCACACATTGCTCTGGCATTCTCACATGTGCAGCAGAATAAGGTCTAAGGCTCTGCATATTACGTGCATAATAGCTGGAACAAAACAACTCATCATACTCCAGCAAACCAGCTGTACAACACAGCATCTCTGTCAGTTTCTGTTTTACTCTGTAAACAACTCTTTATATGAGTCAATACTCAAGCAGACTGAGGTTAAGGTGCAGAGTACATAAAAAAAATATTAGACATCATTTAAACAATTAGATATCATAGTAAACCAGACTTACATATCCTACATCGGGACGATAGCAAGTGTAAGCTCCCAGAATGCTGTGTAATACATCATGGTATGGGCCTCCCTGAAAATAAACCCCAAAAGATAATGACACAATTGTCAGCAGATTATATAAAACACCAGAAACAGCAATGCAGCCTACCTGTTGAAAAATACAGAGACTGGGAAAGGTTCTGGAAATGTCTAATTTGATCAGTTCTAGACTGGCCTCTCGATCAGCATGAGACAAGCCTGTGTCTGAAAAATAAGCAATAATTAGTTACAAAAAGGGCATTAAAGGATGCTGATGGAGGAGAAATAACAGAGAATGAAAAGAGAAGCATAATAAAAGAACAAATGATGTTTGATATGAGATTAAAGAAGTTATTCCAGCAAAAGTGAGAGAATAGAAACAAAAGTACCATGTGCTTGGAAAAATGGAAAAATGTGTAACCGTCACCTTCAGTCTCTGTTTCTGTAGCAGCCGTTGGGGCTACAAAGGCATTCCACTTTTCTTTGGCTCTTGCCAAACAGATATTATACAGCTCTGTTTAAAACACATACATACACAAATAATAATGTGTTATTTACATGTAAATAAGTTAGTATTTTTTTGTTACAAGTTATGTTTACATGTGTAAATCTAAAACCACTATTTGCTTTGTAATGATATAGTGATATAGTTAGGTTATTACATGTAACTGTTTTTAGGAATCAAATTTGCTTTTGGAAATCTGCTAAACTAGCGTTTCTGAACTCCAGGGATTTCACTCGTTTACTTAAATATAAAGTATAACTGCATTGTGTATAAATACAGGGAATATTTCAACAAAAATGTAAAACTAAATTCTCATAATATAATTACCCAGCTTGTAAAACTGTAAAAAGCAGTCTCGTCAAGAATCATTTGCTATTCAAAATGTATCTTTATTTTTCTACACATGATTACAACAGATCCCCATTGCAAAAAAACATTTAAACCACAGCAGTTTTCGGTGCAGAGTTCTCACAGTGAACAACCACAAAAGCATGGTTATTACTACCTATAACGTCATTACCATTAGCATATGACAATGCATCATTCATGCTTTGCTTTAGATATGCTGTTCTCACAAAAGAAGCTTCAAGCTTGTTTATGACTGCAAATGTATGGTATACATTTGTGAGTTTTTGTTAAAAGTAAAAAATTATGTCAGAGAAAAGATTAAAATTAAACACCAATTAAACCACAGGACACTGCTTGTGAAACACAATGAAGAAAATTTCGAATTAAAAAAAATTATGTCCAAAGTAGTCTTTTGTATGTGCTTATCCTGTATGTGTGAGGTGTATGTGATAAAGAATACATAAAACACATTCATACCATCTGTGATGTTCAGTTCATTGCCTATCGCTAAACTCCAGACTTTGCCCCTCACACTGGGTGGCAGACCCTGCCACCATAAATCCCTCACCCGCTTGGATGAACACCTGGAATGGGGAAGAGAAGGACAGAGCAAAACAAGTCAATTAACAAGTCTAATGTGTGCAATTATTTTCAGGGAAACACACGGCTGAAGTAGTTCCAGGCAGGTCTTGACCGCATTAAGATGTCCATATCACTTCGCTAAATGATTTCTGTTATTTCAAAGGTCCTTACAGCCTACAACAGCAAAAAAACAAAACTCACAACGACACTGACCAAGCAAATAAATGTAGCAAACAACAGGATAAATACGACAAAGTATTTCCATGTTTTTTGCCACAAAGTAAAATTTTAATATGTACAGAAAGCACATACTCTCTTTCTCCCGCTCTCTCTCCCTTACAAACGCACGCATACAGTACGGACACACACATTGTAAGTGCTGCTCTGACGATTTTATCAGTAAAATAGCTCAGCACCTTAAAAGCTACATGTCATTTCTCACTAGCGAGTAGGGTTGGGTATCGTTTGAATTTTATTGATTCCGATTCCGCTTATCGATTCCAATTCTTTTCGATTCCCAGTTTCGATTCCAATGTGATTAAATAATGATATCAAACATTTATCCTGTCCCTTTTTTGCAAACCATTTATTGGAGCTGAATACTATGAACAAAAATCAACAGGCTACATAAAAACTGGACTCTTTAAGAGCTGTTTGTGTGCAAAATAGAACTGCATGATTCTGGATAAATTGAGTTTTTCCCCCAATGGAAGTTGTGGTTCTCTCCTGATTCTGAAGAAAAAACATTAGACAACTAAACAAAATCACATGTAATTTATGAATTAATTATTAAATGACTCACTCAAGAAACTTTGGAGTGCTTAGTAATTAGTAGATTAGATTAGATTAGTAAAGTCCTGGCAGATCGCTAGGTCCGGTCCTCACCAGAGCATGTGAGCGTTTTTCGCTCTATGGACGTGCGCTCCGCTCAGTCGCTCTAACCGCCCCAGCAAGCGCTCCGTTAATATTCCGCTCACGCTCACCGTGAACCAATTCCCGCTCCGACATAAGTCCGCTACGCTCACATGCTCTGGTCCTCACAGAGAAAAAAAAAAAGAGGAAAAAAAAGCACATGGGAATCGATGGGCGGAATCGAAATTTTAATTTGACAACAAGTATCCGATTCCTGACCTTAAGTATCCGATTCTGGAATCGGAATCAATTTTCGATTCCCAACCCTACTAGCGAGGTAATAGCGACATTGTTCATGAAGCAGATAAACTTACAGTTTCTCACGCGTCTGCCGAACACTGTACAGATCAGACTTAGGTAACTCACACATGCTTAATTTCTCTTTTTTTCTCTCCAAGCATATTTTAATTGTAACGTTGTTTATTTCATTTTTGGACTTTCAGCCACTTTTATGTTTTATTCACAGGGACAGCAGAGAGATTATCGGATATAATAAGGATAAGAGCTGTATCTCATTCAAATGCACACTGCTCACATGAGCACCTAAGCTCAACACTTCTAGTCCATGTCTCTCACTAATTGGTCAATTACATCTCTTGCCAAATGTTACTCTTCATAGAATGTTTTTGACTACTCTATCTATGGTCTGTTATTTAATTACATGTCAATAATGTTTGTTTGTGTAATATATTGAGTCAATGAATTTTGTGTGCAGACTCACATGCTTTGCCAGTTGGGTAATATCTCCTGACTCCAGGTGAGAGCAGCATTGCCAATGCTTTCCTCATGTTTACACCTGTCCTCTAGTTGTTTTTTCCGTTTCTGGGCCTCTTTCAGCTCTGCACAGAAACAAATACATGCGCAGTGAGAGAGAGGAGGAATGGCAGTGAAAAGGAAATCCGTTTCAACAGGATTTAATTTCAGCTTTTGCAACAGCGCCCTCTAGAGCACACAAAACTGGACGCACTGAAAACTATACACAAACAAATGCGTGAAAAGAAAGTCACCTCTCTTCTTGGCCTGAGCCACCATCTCCTCATATTCTTGTCTGTGTTTCTGGGCTTCTTCCTCAGGCTTTGCAGGAAGATTCCTACACACAGGTACACAATTAGTCAATAGAAGTATACATTTCTGTCTGTGAGAGAAAACATTTTGAAACACTTTACATCTATAAATCCTTTATTATTCCATATTCCCTATGCTTTAAATTATACTAGCACACAATATCAACTATGCTGCATGGCATAACATTGCATGCCAGATGGAAGTGGGTTTTTTTTTCTACTCATACAGGAATGAGAGGTTTCATGAGCAAGTACAAAAACACTTACGCTGGGCGGTTCTCCAGTATAAGGGCTGTGGTTGAAAGTGGCTCAAAGTCCAGGTTCCTTTTTACATTTTTCTTGGGAGATATGGAACTGCTTGATTGCCCACTCCTTCTTTCATATTCCTTTATAAATAAACAAAATAAAAGTATACACATTATATGAATAATGTATAAAATACAATAAAGCAAATGTATAAATCTTATGATGAATAACACCTGTTAACACATTTCAATCATGAGAAGTAAAAAGCAACACCGTTAATGGGCCATTCTACAGAATTGGTCCAAAGTCAAAGTCAGAGTTAAAAACGTCTTGGAAAAAAATGTGTCTTTTTCCAAAAAATGTGTATGAATGCAAATTTGATAATATTCAAGGTACACATTTCTAGTAATTGCGCAGTTAATTCTCATATTGTATTTTCAGGAAGTTTTGGGATATTTGTCCTCTCCCCAAATTTGTCACTACAGAAAAACAGTAATAATCATTTAATTAGAAGGGTTATATTGACCTACTAAGATTTTGCTTACATCTACGTTGTAAATATTTTTTTTTGCTATTTTATTAAAAAAATGTCAGCGGTAAATCAATAATTACACTTTTAACAATATTTCAAATGTTATTTATGAGATTTGTTGTATTTTGAATCCAATTTTTCTTTGTAAAAGGTAAAACATTTATCATACTGATTTCAAAGTTAACAATTCATTAGTTTGAATATACATCGAACCAAAAACTATCATAACATCTTAGTTGATAATTCAGTATATTTTATTTTTGACAAAACATCCCATGTTTCGGTAGTGACTGCACATTTTCGGTAGTGACAGTAATGCTTTGGAAGCGACCACATCACATTACAGAATTTTAACTTGCATACTAAAATACAAAAAATTTGCATAACTGTACTATTTTTCCCCCCAAATATGAGGATTGTGTGTTCCATTTGTCACTACCGAATCAATGATGACATGTTTCAGTTGTGACAATTTTATGGGATAACACCCAAAAAAAAACAACAAAGATGTCACTACCAAAACTCCACCAAATGTTTCGGTAGTGACAATTTTAGATACTTTTGAACCCATCTCAAAGATGCTAATCAGCACATAGTTAGCTAGCACAGTTCTGAACAGTTGTACATGCATACAAATTAAATTATATGGAAAAACTCCCAAAAAAGTGTGCCTATTTGCAGAAAAGAGGTGTTCGGTAGTGACGTTACTCTTAGATTTTTCAGACTTTCGAGCACATTTACCTCAAAATGATGGGATCTACCTACTCCCCTGTAGCTATGAGAGAAAGACACATAAATATTTCCTGATCATAAATGTAGGGGTGTAATTAATTTCAGTCTCAGCCAATAAACTAAAACATGCACTGTTTCGGTAGTGACATGAAAATGCGGGACACTTTTTTTAATACATAGTTTCATAATTTACAAAGAAAATATAAAACAAATATTTTTTAAACTTTACTTTTTAAAAAGATATTTTTAAAAACAATGGGGGAAAAAAAAATACAAAAATGTCAATATTTTCATAAGCTGAAATTTAGGGGTTAGGGTTCGGGACAGCCACCTCCCAATTGAAAATACCCAATAAATTATGATTTTACATATATATTAAGCTTACTAATATTTTTTATATTTTTGTGGGTTTCAATAGAGAATAGAATGCTCTTAGTAAACGTCTAAGATTTGAATACTTAAACGCTTTTTAAATGTGTTTTTTGGTTGTGGGAAAGCAGTTTGGACCAATTCTGTAGAATAGCGCATATAAGTCCAAAGAATTGAAACAAATAATACACTTTTAAACCGTTAAAGGCTAGTTGGAAGAATCTCACAAAAATTTTCAGGTAATTTACTACAAAAAAAAAAAAGAAGACAAAAAAAAAAAAAAAAAAAGGACAAAAAAAAAGGGAAAAAGGTAAAAAAAAGGGTAAAAGGTTTAATATTTTAATGAAATAAAATGCATAAACCAAACAACAGATACTACTACAATGAAAAATAACCATTTACAATTAATTTGGTTAAATCACAATTTTTAATCGAGGCTTAATCATCCAGAAAATGATCATTAAATAATACATTTCAAGGCATTAGGCATAAGAACTTATAGGAACTAATGCCTTAACAAGGTTAACAAACATCCAGTGTTTTGCCACACAATATTTTTTTCACAGCCGGCACAAGTGGAAGCAGAAGTTCTCAAACTAGCAGGAACTGTAAAAATAACGGTCTTTGCAATCACAGTGAGTCATGATAGGCCCAAATGGAATCAGAACAACTTGCTTCTGTTATAGTATGCGTTTCTTTACAAAGTCTCATGTCACAATGTACACACTGAATAAGTAATCTGTACTCTTACTCTGCATCCATCTTTAAATTCCCAGATTCTGAAGTAATCTGTCTGATCTGTATATCTGAACAAAATGACGATAGAGAAATACGTTTTATTTATGCAGTCAGAAAGCACACGCTATCGCTCATGAGTGAATATAAATATTAATTTGACCCCATGCTGCACTCTCTCAGAGATAAAACTAGACAAAATGACCTACATTCCAATTCTGAGCCAAATGTGTATAAAGGACATTAAATACAATTAGACGAGGAACTCCTAATTAGTTTTAAGAGTGAAAGTGGGACAGAAAACCAAAGAAACAGGATGACAATATAATAAAATATAATAACAAATGTGCTCACACATAAACACCAGGTACACCTGCTACGAAAGCATTGTCATTTCCTCCCTATTATGCTCTTTTTTTTTTCTATTCTTCCTCATTCTCCTCACTTTTTCTTTTTTAAATCAGACAGGAAACAATGAGGGGGGAAAAGGAAAAAAAATATGACATGAACTCACCATGAACGCTGCAGTGCTGTTGAGACATTCAGAATCCAGTGTTTCAGACACAACACTCTACACCATTGCTGTACTTCCACAACTACAAGCTCAAGTGCCTTGCAGACCGAAAGGCAAGGCACAGCAGCAGAGGAAGAGCACAAGGAATATGGGACACACCCTGAAGAACAGTAGCATGATACTACTGTGCTCCTGCTCCTCTGCTGTTATTGCTGTCTCACTCCTGCTAAGTTACTTGACACTGTTTTTCCTTGCCCTCTTTCTCTCTATTACTCCGTCCTAACAAACATGCACCCAACTGGGAGGCACTACATCAGAGGGATGCAGAGGATCAGACTTTGTCCCGTGCTCCAGCTGTGTCCATAGGTGTGTGTGTGTGCATGCTAATACTACTCGTCATCATCACAGTGCTGCTGAGAGAGGATCCATGATTTACAGGCAGCCATACTAATCGATTGCAGCACAAGGCTCTCTGCACTGCAGTCTCATGTGATCAGTGCGCTCTGTGCTCTGCTGTGCATGTCTGAGTCATGTACAAAGATGATAAATTATCTGCTTTACGTGGCCTGTGTGTCATCAGTTCTCATGAGCTTTCACTGATTCAAATCAAATATATCAAGAAACATCCTAACGCTGTCAAACCATCCCACACATTTTAGTCCCTTAAGACTTTACATTTAAAACAAGTAAATGGCAGCAGGGAGAATATTGCAATGTTTAAAGTCAAAAACAATGAGGCAGGACAGAAGCACATAATCTTAACTCATCTCTTCCTATAAGCCACTGCTACAGAGTCCAAATAAACCAGCAACTCTAAACCTGTCACCCAATACCTCGATCTTCCATTACAGCTGCAGAGAACAAAAGCAAGAGATAAAGGCAGGAGTTGGATGTGGGTGAAATCTAGATGGACACGGGGAGGCAGAATCATGGGGTTCAAATTACCTAAAGCAAACTGCAGGCCTGCACACTGGAAACAAAGCCCCATTCAAAACAATATCAGAATAACTCTGCATTTGATTGATTCATGCATAATGAATCAAAGTGAAAAATCTAAACCTAATATACACAAATCGTTAAACATGTAGCCTAAATGCTTCATTGTTAAAATATTTTCTTCCAGCTGAGAAAAACATTCATGGGTTGATTTCCCCAAAACGAGAAACGGAAATTTAAAGCAGTCATGGGAGGAAAGTGTTACCATGTACATTTTTGACATCAACTTAATGGCAAGATTGCGAGGAGACGCGTGACAAATAAAAACAACATGTGTTCTTAAATTGGCTCAAAACATCAAACATGTTTGATATTCTCAGACTGGACATATTCTGAAGCTAAAAAAATCTGTCTGTGCCCAACATTCAATACACTCTGCAAAATCTGGCAACTCTAGACTGTCCAAAACCTGCAGACTGGTTCTTTAGGTTCTTTCTATAGGGCCAAACTCAATGAAGGGTACATTATACAATACACTGAATACAGAAACTATATTTTTTCACAATTTCGGCACAACCTTACTACATGAAAAAGCACTCAAAAATCAGGTACATTGCATTTTGACCTCTTGTAAGATCTTGTATGAGTGCAGGTGTGTGAACGTACCTTTTGTATTTTCCTGGAGTCTTTGGTTGAAAGTTCTTTATGTGGAACTTTACCAAACAGCTTCCAGCCAGGCTCTCTCTGTTCTTCCAGTACACCCGCTTCCTTCATTCTCTTAGCAAAAACACTCCTTACAAATATAGAAAAGAAATAAAAGGACTGAGTTAACAGAGTGCTACGTCTACTGAAAATGACCTTCTCAAGTTTTTTTTTTCGTCTTTTCATTATTTTTAAGCAATGCAAATTCCACAAAGAGACACTTTATTATTATAATAGCACTTTTCACTAAATACACAGAACAGAGGGAGAAACTGAAAAGAATACTGCACTACAGTGGAGAGTGAGGCAGAAGGAACAAACATTTGAGCTGTTTTAAGATCAAGAAAAGCTTCAAGAAAATCTGTGATGCAGAGATAAGGAATCATCTTTTTATGGAATTACCTTTCCACTCATCAAAGGAAAGGTAATTCTGAGGCATGCGCCACAAGTTGAGAATGATCACCCACAGCACAAAGGACAGTGATTTGAGTGGATGATAGAGAACAAGCCGAGGTCCAGGTAGTGATGAGCTCTATTAAATATGAAGGACCTAAGCCACTTAAGACCTTTTGAGCACTTAACTCCACGCTATTCAGTGGCGCCTAAACATTTTTGTTCTGCAACCCATTTTTTAGGTTCTGAAATGCTTGTGAAACAAATACATGTGCGTTTCAGCAGCACTGAAAAGAAAATGATGGGAGTAAAAAAACTGAAGTATATCATAGTTATATCAAGTTATATCAAATACTGCATATCATTTGGTATGGGGCCTGATTGGGGCCTGCAAGTAAAAAATCTGAAAATTAAATCACCGGTGATGAGAAACAACAGTACACCCTATAATCAGACGTTGAAATAGAAAGGGAAGTCGAGATTAAAAATTAATGAAAAGTGAAAAGGTGTTGCCAAGAGTATTGCAGAATTCCAGCGGAAACACACATGAAAAATTTTAAATGTATAAAATTATTAAATTACATAAAAAAATGAAACAATGACAAAAATGTTAATGTGAATAATATTAATGCAACATTATTCGAAAGGCAAAATTTCGTCAAGTTTACACAATAAGCAAACCATGATACTACTGAACAAATCAGTAGTTTCTTGGTGTGAATTTTACAACATTACAAATGCAAATGCTACAATACTTGTGGAAGAAGCTGGCGAGTGGACCCAGTCTCTTGGGTCTAGCCTCATGTGGTGTAGAGACCCCCACAGGTTGCCGTTGTGGGCTGCTCAGCTTGCCGTGTAGGTCCGTAGGAGATGAGAGTGAATTGTCACAACGATGCAAGACATCTTCATTCTCAAATGTAACAACGGCGCTGGACTCGGATGTAACCATGAAGTCTAGGAAGTCCTCATTACTGACTGACAATGTGGCAGAAAACTCGGTACTTAAACTGGAAACACTACACACTGAAATTTCATCACTGCGGTTCAAAGTACCCTTGCCTGCCGCACTGGAGAGCCCACTTGCACCATAAAGACGTACTAAATCAAAGTCACAACGTGGGAAGGTGGAAGACTTGAGCATGGAGTTATCTGAAACATCCAAGTTTAGTGTTGCCGGATTATCATCATGTGGAGGTGGAACCACCAGCTCAGCAGTGGTGACTCGAGCATGAATGTGCTCAGGGGGGTTAATCTCAAGGGTGGGGATTCCAGAGTCCTGAGAGGCCAAGCTGCTGCGATCCTCGTCACATGTGCCATTAAAGGGAGTGAATGATTTGTAGCTGAGGGAGACATGTGGCAGCTGAGAGTCTGAAGGCATGTGATGCTTGACATGGTTTTGGGTGAGAGGCAAACACTGGTTGTGTGAAGAGTTGCTGAACGATGAGACCTGGAAATCTAGAAAGACAAATAACAAAAGTAAATCAGTCCCTATGAGGAAAAAGTTAACCTGTAAGTCATATGGGTTTTTCGTCTCCTTATAGAAAATAAACTTTTTTTCTGAACCAACAAATGTCATTTCCACTGCATCAGATTACATACAGTATTTCATTCCTGCAACCCTCTATGGACACCTTGGCAATAGAATCGCCATTGGCTAGTAAACTTTTTACTTTACTCACCAGACTTTATCATGAAGGCATGGGAATATAATAATAATAATAAAATGAAAAAAAAAGTTCTCAGGACAGTTTTTGCAATAAATACCATTTCTGCTTATGACCTTATCTTACAAATATCTCAGGGTCACATGGACAGAAATCAATTGTATCCTAGAAACTCAGGGAAAATTACACCCTACACTGTAAAAAAAAAAAAAAAAAAAAAAAATCTTATTTCCCTCAACCTTGAAACAAGAAACAATGCAATGTATTATTCAAAATACAGGCAAAATCAATCCGGGAAATTACTTCATATTATTAGTAAATTGGGCCCATGTTAATGTTAATTTTCCATTAGGTGACAGGTCTGTGCTCTCAGCCCACACTATATTCCCCATGTGTCAATATTCAAGTTAAAAACATTCTGAAGAGTGAAAAGACTCGATGTGCATGGCTGGGTAAACACCTCTCTGATCTTCCCTCAGTAAAACAACCTCTCATCACACTAACTCGCTGACCAGCTTTTCTCTACATAATAGAGTGACATGAAAACTTCAGTGTGCAGGAGTAGAGAAAGCAACCTGAAACCAGACCAAAAAACAAAACAAAAAACAAAGACCTGAGGAAGCGTCACGTCAACACTCCCTCCAACTCAACTTTGAGATAGCTGTCCTCAAACATCCTTGATAATCTAGTGGACAATATCTTCCATCAAAATTAGACATCACAGTAGCACATCAACAGGATATCAAAAACAAAGGGGAAAATAGAACATCAGCTCAAAACAAAAAAAGATGAACAAGAATGTTTATATTGTGCCCGATACGTTTGAAAAATATATAATGGGAGAGGCGATGGATAATACGAGCTCTACTGGTTCTTCCTCCCCAATTGAATATAGTTCAGTGTGTGTAACAGGTGTGTGCACCTGCTCATCTACTGCAAAAGAAACAAAACATGTGCATAGAATCTACAAACCATTATTGGATTGTGGACAGAACATGCTTTAAGAAAGCCGTGAAATCTACAATTGAGTGCAATCAGTAACTGCAGCTTTTGACAGGACAACAATACTTTAAAAGCCCAACAATACACACCTTAAACAATAACAGCGCTTTCGTAATTTCAAAAGTGACCCAGCCCATACATTTTTTCAAATTCACTTTGAGTTTTAAGGTTACTGTGTTCCTGTAGTCAAAGAGAACTTTTGTAAATTATTTATTTAATTTATTTTCCAAATTAATAATTAGCTCTTTCAACCAAATCATACAGAACTACTTCGTGGCTCTATCAGCTGATGTGCTGTTAATGCTTGTAAAATACCATGAAATTGTTGTTCTCTGATGCAATCCTTCATAAGGCAATCAGCATCCTCTGAATTAAATATACATAGAAACAGAAAACTACTTGAAGTTTTGAAAGAAATAAAGGATAAGGATCAGATCAATCAGCCTGTTCAGATAATTATACAGACATACAAGAAAGGTATGAACAGAACAGTATCCAATTTTATATAGCGGGATAATTAAATCTAGGAAACTTTCAACAGACTATATAAGATTAAAAAGGGAAAAAGAAGTAGGCATTACCTTGACTCAAGACCAGTGGGCTAAAATATGTGTTATATCACATACCTCTACAAGCTCAAGAATGTGGCATGAGTTCTGCTGGAAAAAAAATTATTGGATTTTTTATTACACTGAGAATTAAGACATTACAAAAAAGGGATCTCCACCTATGTTGGAGGAATTGTGGGATGGAGGAGGCACGTCATACGCATGTATTCTGGCAGTGCTCAAAGATGAGTAGTTTTTGGGAAGTTGTATGGTCTACTATTACCAGTATTTTTACTGTCAGTATTTGAAGTCATTTGAAGGTTTATATTTGAAGGATATCCCTAATGAGGTTGAAAGGGAGGATAGATATGTTTAAGGTATTATTGATAAGTAAAAAGGCTGTAACCCGGAAATGGTACAAAGAGGATCCACCTACGAAAGAAGAGTGGTTGAAAATAGCAACAGAGGTCAAAGAAATGGAAAGGCTCACATATATACTCTGATTACAAAAACAAATCTTTGAGAACAAATGGAGGAAATGGTTAGCTTTCTCCTCTGTAGAATAATGGTCTATACTTGAAAATTTACATTAATATGGATGTCATGTATTACTGAAAGAATATGTGTGTGGCAACCTTTGTTAATGTTGCTGGTGCAATTTTTTATTTTATTTATTTTTCCTTTTGTATTTTTTGTCTCCATGCCCTGTAGTTAATTCCGAAGAAAAGTCAATAAAAAAATAAAATTAAATAAAAACTACTTGAAGTTAGTCATTATTATTAAGGACAAAACAAGGAAAAAGGTTCAAATCTCTCAAATTTATATTCCCTTAATCTAATCCTTACATTTTAACATAATATCTCCCGTTTTAATTAGGTAAAGAGTGCACCAGTCAGGCTCCTGGAAGTAAAAATCCCATTGACAACTTATAAACCTTTAAAAAAAAAAAAAACTCCTGTAATCTACAAGATTGTTAATAAATGGTATAACATTTTTTATTTAATATTTTTTAAATAATTGTGTTCAACAGCAGAATACCAGGTGGAAAACGACAAGAAGCATGATTTTGCCAAAAAACTTCCACTAATCAGAGAATTGCAATGTCAGCGCCACTAACTCCCCTGAAGCACTTCAAATGACTGTCAGGTTTCAAACGACTTAAACATTTGTATGCATGCATAATATGCATGTTTTGCAAAGAAACAAAACACACACGCATAAATAAATATATATATGCACTCACACATGCAGTTACATACAGTCTTATGCATTTTGTCTCTGTCTGTTTTTCAAATACTTTTTTGCTTCAAATCAAAATGTGTATTGTTGTGATTCACCAGCTGGTTGGTTTGGTTCATAGTCAGTAAATCAGGAAAATCCCTAGGAGAAAATTACTTCTGGAACTATGCTGAAAAAGTGGGCGAGCAGCACTGTTGCACTTTACTATTCATGACTAGCAACCGTATAAACACAAAATGCCCACTGCATTTAATACACTTGTAATCACTGATGTTCAACGTATGTTTAATTGATCAATATTGCAAGATTTTGTTTTGGTTTGTTTTTTTTTTACAATAATTATACATTACAAGTTTTTTTTTTAACTATCCTGTAGTCTAATTTCAATCATTGAAGTGCATGCAAGACTTTTCTATTTGTCAATACATTTCCGAAGCTTTATCTGATTACACTCAAGCATAGTTTCCCCCATGTCTCAAGAACCAGTGATGCTAATGTGCAATAATTTTGACATCCAGGGCCCTAAACAAACAGCTTGGAGGATGTAGCTGTTATGGCTACAAAGTTACTTTGAACTTACCATCAATGCTTTGACCGTTTGTGTTGCTTTCACAGGACGTGTGCTCTGCTTCTGCCATGTTCCTGCTGCAGGTGGAAGGATGTGCGTGCGTCCATCACCTCCTCACCTTTACTCCAGACCCTCCAATAAACAACACTGTTATTATTACTCTTAGAATATAACACGGTCCGCTTTCACAAGCACGTCTGCACTTCATTTATCACCTAAACTCTAAACTTCACTCAAAACTTTTCGCCTTGCTTGAGCACTTCGCTAGGTTCAGGAGACATTAAACTTCTACATCACGGCAAGTGTCTGACTGCAAAAGGCTCGAGCTCTATTTGCGCACGAGTAACGAGTAAAAGCTAATGAAAAGTATCTTACCTGTTGTGACGCTGCCACCGCCATTTTAAAACATCCTCACCGATATAAATGTGCCAGGAAAACATACGAGTCGATGAATCCACCTGCGCTACGACTGACTGAAGTGCTGGTCTGCATCAAATAAAGTCAAAAACTATCGCTACTTCCACCTGGGTAGGTAACGTCGCTTTTCAGGCACGCAAACCGTTGTCATTTAAATCGAGGCAGAGCGTTTTGAAAGTGTTAGGACGTATTGCCGACAGTCAGTAAATCAGGAAGTGACCTCCAGTGCCCTGTAGACACTGTACACACTGAGCGACGCGATAAAACTAACTACAACGCTCCCCGTCTACGCAGCTGCCCCGTGTCATATTGCACTCTTCGGTGATTTATTCACGTTATAGTTTTGTCGTGTCGCGTGTACAGAGGGTGTGAAGTTTGTTTTAATGCGTAGATACGGTTTATTGCTAGTTTTAATGAATCCAAGTGATGAAACCGTATGCGGTATTTTATCAGTAACCAGAAGACAAACTGTTGCTATAGTAACTAAAACAAACCCCCAAACCTGCATCCGGCTGATTAACGTCAACCTCCCTCACTCCTCACAGCAGCTTTACGATGAACGCGCCTGACCACTGGCTGCAAATAGCAGTATTTCATCAGTTGCACTATCTACATACTTTAAAATCTAAAATACAAATAGTTACTTGCCAGGAGTTCACCTAGTTGTGTGCATTTGATGCTACTGACAGGACTTTTTATTTATTTTAACTATTTGTAGCTGGATTTTACTGTGGCTGGTACATGGTAGGCTATAACATTTGATTAGGCCTACTCCAAGCACTGAGAGAAAACACTGAGAATATCCTTTAAAAAGCAAATAACAGTTTTTGTAAAGTCATTTTCTGCGACAAGTTAAGGTCAGGGTTTCACTTCCCTCGGTCTGATTCTGTTATAGCAGGTTGGCTCAGTGTCAAAGCTTAATGTGTATTGAATATATACCCATTTAAAATGTAGCTATCTGGGAAGTGATTGTACGAAGTCATAAAGTCTCTCTCCTGCAGTCACAAATAAACAAGGACTATGTTTTTTTTGTTTGAATGTTTATTAAAGGTTTAGAAACGTCACAATGAAACAAAATGATGTACTCTTGATGTACATGGCATTAGAACAATGCAACCAACTTTGTGTTGGGGTTTGGTGACTTTCATCAGGTATTCAGAAGAAAAATACAGGGCTGGGCTCCAATTAAGAGAGAGTTTTGCTTTAGAAGTTATACAACATCGCAAAACTTAAACCTTCAAGAACTTGAACGTCATCCTCTCCAAATGTACTTGCTGAACCAAAACCTTCGAAAAAATGCAAATGCAGCAATTTTCAGTCTCCCATAGACACGAGTACTCAGGTCTTTCTCCAGCAACCATATCACCTCACACACACACACACACAGAGTTAGACATGAAAGATACAACAAATTAAGTCACTCTTTTCCATTTTTAAAACGAGTCTGTTTAAACTAAGAGAGGACCCATTTCAAATTTCTTTAACTGTAAATAATCTGTCTATGATGTTCTTTAATATTTGACTGTCACACACATGTACTATAGTATGCATTTCCTCAAAATGCTTAAATCTAAATTGCTTTTGTCCTCGGTCACCCACCCACCATAAACAAGCTGCTTAATGAACATAAACCAAAATAATACAAGTAACAATTTTGGATGACGGCAATATTTAACTCAAGGTGCTTGACAGAACAAATATTAATTTGGGTATTGATTAGAGAAAGTAATGCCAACAATATGTAATTGCATTTTGGAATCTGTCAGTATTTTAAAATGGAAAAATTAAACTGAATTGCAACATGTTATTTGTCAACTAAATACAAATCCAATAAAGATGTCTATACGCACTGCTGTACCCAGTTATAGCATACAGTAAAATAATTTTGTGCCTTCACACTCTGTTTCTACCACTATACATTTCAATGAACTGGATATTTATGATCTTTGTAAAACAAGAATCAAACTCCCAATGAGGAAATAATGTGGTGAAACACAAACACACACAAGCCATTTCAAACTGGGTCATACAAAATCATCTCTCCTAGGTTATGGTCTACAGCCTTTTCCATACAGTCTTGGATTACACACTTTAACAAACTAGGTCTTGAGCTAGTCTCAAGAACAAGGCCCAACCGGTTTCTGTTAAAATAAGCACAAATCTTTCAGAAAGACTGTGTGGCCCTTTTTCTTACACACATTTGAAGATTACGTCTTTGCTGTAGTGTATGAACATTAGCACCAATACATAAAATACTTTATAGATCTTACTGTCAAAATCACAAATTTACCCCAAAGTGTCTCAGAACAAGTCAACAAAATAAACCTTTTCACTTGTAAAGGGGAATAAGCACATTTAAATTATTGGTTTTATCTTTTTTTTTTTTTGGACATTTGATGCCAGAGAAAGTTTAAAAACTCGCAAATTGTAAACATTTAATCACAATGGCTGAATTAAATGGGAAACTTAAGCAAAGAAAGCAATTTCAAGGACAAGGATATATTTCTTCATTTAGACTTCTGTTTTAAACAGCGGTTTTTTTTTTTTTTTGTTTGCTTATTGTATTACTACACCTTCAACATATTACCCTGCTTTATTTCTTTAAGATGTTTTCGAAGCAGCACTGAACTAAAGTGGAACATCAACAAATAATTGATGTAACAGAACAAAAGTGGGGGTTGGGAGTGGCAAAAGCACTTTTTCTTTCAACACACCAAACCTCACACAACTCTATCCTCTACAATTCATATAAAATGAAAAAATAAGACAAAATGCTAAATGATCAGATTAGGGAAGGGGGTGTCGCATTCGTAGTGCTTTCAACCTGACTTCTGAGTATTCATAGGACTATTAGAAGGACTGAGACTAGGTTCACAAGCACATGCACAATCAGTAGGACCACAGTTATAGTGTATCCTAGATCAAACATAAAAGTGAAGCTAAAATCTATAAGGGGTAAATTAAAGAACAATCTTAATACTTAACTATGCCTTTTTTATTCTTTTCAAAATTGATCAACCTTGGAATTAACAGATTGAAAACAAGTCTATAATAAATGCTGTTGACCAGAATCATCTAACTGTACGTTCAACCTGTTGCCATGTTTTCCTCTCGTTATTTTTTCATCTTGATGATGCGCCGTTTTAGGAATAACAGGGCTTAGAACAGCGTGGTTAAGAAAGAGCCCACTGCGGGCCCTGGGCTCACTGTTCTTGAAAGGGTCCTCCTATCCCTCCTCTGTGTTTTGGTTGAAAGTGATAGGAGGAAATCAGCATTGGTATACCTCCACGCTCAGCAGAAGAATCATACATTACTGCTTCCTATAAGCAAAGGAGGGTACAACATTTAGTGTTGAACAAACTTACACACAAACTCCCTTTTTCTATTCAATGTAGTGTCTATAATTTGACAGTAAGATTCATCATAACTATTCACTATTGATAGATCAATGGGTTTATCAAAGCGGTGTACAACTTACTTCCCCAGTATCTAATACTGTTAAATAGTGTACTCTTCTTACCTCCGCACTGAGAACCTGGAAATAAAGGAGAACATAGAGTACTTTGCCACCAGCACTCTTCTTGCTGCATATTAGTTAAGCACTGTTCTCCAAAATTCAACAGAGGTAACTGTTTAAGAGACAAAGTCAATCAGTGGGAGCAAATTAATGTATCAGGGAATGCACCGACTGCTATACTTTTTTTTTTTTTTACCATTGAAAAGGTAAAAGGTATATCATTAAAGAACAAGTATGGTCAAGGCATATATGAATTCAGTGTATTCAAGAGCAGGTGATAGCAATGTCAATATCAACTGATAAAAGCATGCTAATATATTGTACGATTTTCTATATACGTGTCTCTGAAGGTTAAGATAAAAGACTAGCTCTACAGTCACTTACCTCAGGCATATCTTGAGCAACATCAAGCGACTTCCCACTTTTTGGAATCTGATCAGTTGCAGCGCATTTGCAGGACTCTGCCTCTCTGCTAGATTCCTCTTGTTGAAGAACAGAGGACTGAACATGAGAACATGGCACCGAAACCGCTGCCGTCTCACAATGTACGCAAATCTCTTGTTCAGTAATCGGCAGAAGGGTGCTCCCACCCTCCTGCGAATCGAGTGATGTCTGGGCACTCTTCTCCATGCCAGACTTCTTTACTCTGGGTAGGAACTTCCCAGACTCCAACTCAGATTTTCCATAGTAAGGGCCCTCGCACTCTGCGTCCTCCTCAAGAGGCTTGAGGTCAGCCTGTGGGTCATCAAAGAGGTCTGCTTGACCAACTGGAAGACTCGCTTCCTCTTTCTCAGACTCTACATCTGACTCACTGCACCCACCTGGAGAAAGTTCAGAGGCGGATATTGGCCGGAAATGAGTCCTTGGGGAAATTCGAATGGCCCGATACTGAGTCCGGTTGATGCCATATAACCACGGGCAAAAGGGCTCATTGTCGGAGCATAATATGGATTTTGGCTTGAATCCCGGGCTGAACGAGGCCATATCCTCTGGCTCAAAGGAGCACTCCACATGCAGGACCTGGGAAAAAGGGTTGTTCAAATCAAAGGATGAAAACGGGTAATCCAGTCCTGACTCTTCTCTACGGAAGCCTCCACACGATCCAAGTAAATCTTCATGGAAGACAACAGAAAATCCCTTATTCAAACCATCCCCCGGTCCCTTAGTAGCCTGCTCATTTTGGCCAAGGGACACAAGGGGTCTCCACAATGGCTTGTGGCCAGGAGCAAAGCAACTGCTTGTGTTCATGAACACATCCGCTCCTGCAATGGTTACCATGTCAGAAGATGTGGCTGCTGCACACTGCAACAAACTGCCACAAGCATCACCAGGTGGAATCATAGCCCATTCTCTGTTGCCACTTAGAGTCTTCAGTTCTCCATAAACCCCACCGAGGATAAAGGAGGTGCTGTCCTGTGAATTACAATTCCAAGGCTTGGCCGGTGTCGTGTAATCCCCATCATTCATTTTAGAGAGCTTGGTTTTAGGAAGTCCCTTGTCCTCTTTCTGCCCATCCCAAAGATGATACTCTGAACACTGCACAGCTTTCTTTTGAATAATTTCACCTTTTACATCCTTGTCAAGACAGCTGCAATGGTAGCTGGTAGAATCTGAAAACAAGTGCTCCCCTGTATTCTTTACCCCGAGTGTTAAGACACAGTCTCTGTCTCCAATAGCCATCCAAATGTCTTTAATTATCCCTGAGGTGTATTCATCACTTTGTTGATTTGGGACATCTGAAAACACAAAAGCATTATAGAGTTTACTCTCATCCTGCTCTAATGCTATGCCACAAACAGACTCCAATTTCGATTTCTTATTGAAGGGCTGGTTGGACTCTGTGCCTACACTCGTTTCTTCCTGCTGGTGACTGGAGTTCTCTTGAAAGAAATCTAAAAGCTCTTCTTCTAGGCATAAAGGTGGGATAAGGGAGATACAGCTGACCTCTTCATTGCCAAACTGAGCAGACTCATCTGCTAGAGCATTGATCTGTTCACTATCTGACCGTGTCTCCTCTGAGTGGGACCAGGGACTGCAGGTCCTCGTTGATAAGTTAGAGCAGTGTTCCGTTTCTTCAAAGGCACTGTTTTTGGTCCAAATTAGCAAACGGGATTGTTTGTTTCCTTGTGGATCTAAACAGCTACTTGAATCTACATTGTCCTGACCCTCCGCAAGAGAGTCGCAGGGAAAAGAAAAGGTAGGGCTATCGTACTGCAACTCAAAAAGCGGAAAACAGGAGTTTAGGGCAGAGATGCTACTGCTGGCCTCTTGGAGATGATGCCCTACAATAGCTCCAGACAGTTTGCTAAAGTTAAAAGGAACACGGTCCAACACTGGGGAGAGCCTGACTGGAGAGTCACCCTGACAGCTTTCTCCTTCCAAATCTTCCAAGCTAGATGATGAACAGCACTCCCAGACTTGGGCAATATTTTCCATATCTTGTGTGATAGAAACATCTGCTTCTGAGGCTCCCAGAGAATCAACCCTTATTGCACTTTCCCCTTGCAGCTCAAGGCCATCTAAAACTACACATCCTGCTTCAAAGTGTTTTCGCTCAATGCTCTTCTGCCGAATCATGTTCAGGATTCGGCTTTCTGGTACCGCATCTGAGGCACTAGGATCCAATATGGATTGGTAAAAATCAACTTCATAGAAGTGAGTGAATTCAGACAGATGCTCGTCATCTAAATTTTGACCATCTTCAGGAGGAGGGCAGCTTGGAATCCCATTCAGTTCAGGATCCTCTTCGTCACCTTCACCAGGCACTTCAATGAAGTGACCATCCACAAAAGTGCCTGCTGCAAGGTATGCCCTTTGAAAACAAGAATTAGCAATGCAAACCCCTTGAATTCTCTCTGACAGACAGTCAACATCAATGGACATAGCTAAATCATTGGAAGAGTCTTCTTTACTCCGATACTTTGTCTCCAATTTACTTCTACTGAGAGGGACAAAGTACTCCGAGATGGGCTCTGTATACCAAAGTGGCTCTTCCATATATTCCTTTTTATTGGCCTCTCCTCCTGACTCCTGTGCCTCAGCCAGATTAGCATCTTTGCGGATCTCCCTCAGAGGTCTTTTGCCTTTTTTCATGTAGTGCTGCTGTTGCTTAGGTGGGCCTCCAGTGGTACTGATGTTGCCACGTGCATTTTTCCGCTCTTCTTTGTCGATGACTTTTAGGGCCAGTTTGACCTGTCCGCCACCACTGTGGCCTCTTTTCTTTCTGCTGCTGACCTCTCTAGACTTGTGTCTTATGCGCACTGCTTTGCAACTAGGGGTCTGGTCACCCTGGTTACCACTGGAGCTTGAGCCAGCCTCACTAGAGCCAGAGGACCACGATCTGGGACGAACCCTCCCCTCAGACCGGTGTCTCGCCTGTCTCTTACTATGAGGAGCAACCTGATCGTGACACACTCCTGTTGCGCTTCCATGGAATCGGTTTTCCTTCTCCCTCTTTGTGCGTCGCTGCTGGGCCCTCTCGCTGATTGTGGTGTTGGAACTGGGTGCATCAACTGTTCGGTCTTTAAAAGCTTCACCTTCGCTGGTGCAGTCTTTTGGAGAGGATGTGTCTGTGCTTGTTTGAGGGACAGCAGATGATGATGAGCTGGAATATGTGCAGGCTTTAGCTTTGTTCCACACAGTCATAATTTCTTGGAGACAAACAGATTTTTCTGAGAGAGGTGGAAAAGCTTCATAGTACCTAAGGGAGAAATTATAATAATATTTTAGTGTAAATAATAATATGAAAAAGAAAAGAAAATTAATAGCGCAATAAGAGGAAATACTGCATAAGGTCATCTTCATGTTGCTATTTAGGATTATGTAAGTTGATATTATATATTTTTGCTCCACCCAAATAACAAGCTAGACATCTGCCGGTATTCGGTACTGCGATATATCACGATAATGAACATGCACAATATTGTTATCATGGGCACTTCAAAATACCGTGAATAATTATTTATTACATATTATTCAGATTCTTTTAATGCATTTTAAGAATACCTTTCCCATCAACTGGTCACAGTGCACAACACCGCCTGAAAGCGCACATTCATTCTCTGACAGCATATGGCGCTGAACTGCAGAAATGCAGCCGTTACCCCGGAAACCCCGTAAACAAAGCAGCTGTGCAGCGCTACTTTCTGAAACGTATTTAAATTATTTAAACAGCCATTCAGATTTTTGTATTCACTATAGTGTTCATCACAGCGCCAAATACTTAAATATTTAGACTTAATAGGCTATTTGTTTACAATTTTTTACATTTTAATCTGGACTACAACATGCCCTAGATATTGTTTGAAAATGTTTTGATTCTTTATTGTTCAGTCACTTTACATTAAGGCACCATTAGTTAATTTATTAGTAAAACAAACTGCAAATGAAAAATTCTTCTAAACATTCATTTGTGTTAGTTCTTCTCTAATCTTGGCTTTTATCTTCGTTGGCTTCTACTCTTCTTAATTTGGGCTAACAAGCTCTCCGAACCACAACCTGCAAGTACTATTAATAGGTTATGTGTACATTTACAATTGCGTGCTCAAAATATCAAGTTTTTGTGCTAATGTGAGATGTATACCTAGTGCAGCTTTAGGTTTCCAGGTAAAGCACGATATTACTGTCTTACTGAAGTAGTTCTGATAATTCACTGTGAACCCACTATTTCCTAAGAATGTGTCGATTAATGTAGACTGACTTTGTTCTAATTACTGCGTTTAATAATAAAGAATGTAGTGTAGCGCACAGACTTTGAGCGTCTTTTGTCTGTCGTTCTGCAAACATTACAGTAGACATATTGGTTTACAAACTGTATTGTTTCATCAGTTAGTCCCGTTAGCACTCGGCTAACGTATCCACCATTATTGTTTTAAGTGTTCACAGTTTAGCAGCTAAACTTTAGCTGTGGGCACGATTCGCTTGCATAAGTGTTTTTGTATTTTATGTCATTATTATAAGAACGGATTGGAGCACTATATTATTGGTCTATGAAAAGGTGCTTTGTCAATCGTAGCGCTCGCTAACTTGCTCAAGGACTCCTCTCTGTGCCAATCACAACAGGCTTGGCTAGCTGACCAATCAGAGCAGAGTAGGCTTATGGAAGGGAGGGGTTTGCTCCGAATTAATTGTTTCGAGATCATTGGCAAATGACTCTAATATTAAATGAGAAAATATATATATATATTCTGAGAAAATTACAATGTTTTCTGACCTTAGATGCATTTAAACCTGCTGTAGGTGACTCCAACACAATATTAGGACACTTTAAAATACCATATGACCTGCTCTTTAACTTAGTTAACTAAGGTTAACTAATGAGATCTTACTGTAAAGTGTTACCTATTGGTCTTTATAATTCTTTTGCACTTTAATCTGTGTGAAATTATTTACTTTATACATTTTTTGTGTATTGCTTTATTGTATTTAAATCTGTTTTTTTTTTTGTTATAAGAAAAAAGTTATTAAACCTGTTATACTTTATGACAACACTTTTTTTGCAACTAAATGTAAATACCGTGATAATACGTATACCGTGATAAAAGCATAAGCAATTAATGAAAATTTCATACCATCACATACCTATAATAAACAACAACAATTGTTGCATTTTTTCTCATCTCCGTTTGTTAGGCAAGAACTAGGGTTGGATGACAATATCATAACGAGATCACAATAAAAATTATGATAAGCTCAGGACATTTTTACTCGATATCTAACAGAGTATCACAGCAGAAATAAACAAGATAACAGTCAGTCAGTGCATGCAGCTAATAAGTCTGCATGTTCTGCGTCTGTGAATGAATGGCGTGATTTTGTTTACAACACAAACTCAAACACAAGTGACATTCACAGTGTTTTCAGCATCTGCGTCTCAATATATAAGAGCTGCTGAGATATGTTGGCACATCTTTTGTTGTATAGCATTTTATTTGACAAAAAATAAAAATGCAATGTTTTGTTGTAAATTGTGATTTTAATTTTAAATTACATTTAAAAATATTGATTAAATTGTTATCATTTCATTAGATATCATTTTTGTATTAAATTTGTATTGAATCATTAAACAGAACCCAGCAAAAAATAAAATGAAAAACAGAATTTAGGGGGAAAAATGGATTTCATGGGACCCTAAATTAAAAGGTAGCTCACTCTA